TCTCACCGGACCAGGCTCTCACATCACCAAGCGCGAAGCGCCGTGAGAGATTCGCCGAGTTGCATGAAGGGTGCGCTGCATCCTGCTAAGGGTGTTCGGCATCTTNCCACCAGGGGGGGGGGATGGGGGGGTGTACTCATAGTCGTGCATGCCGCAGTTGTTAGACCATTGACCTCGCATCCCTACAAAGCCGGGACGGAGCACGCCGGATTCTCACCGGACCAGGCTCTCGCATCACCAAGCGCGAAGCGCCGTGAGGGATTCGCCGAGTTGCATGAAGGGTGCGCTGCATCCTGCTAAGGGTGTTCGGCATCTTGTGCTTACTTCCTTGCATACGGATGACAGCTGCGTATGACTTAATATATTTTCTGGTACTTTCACTTCCAGAGACAGTTGTAAGCACTGGTAACTGCCTCGAGGGTGCTTGACCATCATCTTCTTGGCTCGGAGTGACGGTTTTCGACCTCGCACAACATGATCTACTCGACCACCAGTCATGGTTAACGCCAAAAACAAAACAGGGGTATAAAAAAAAACGGTAAGCTGGTTGCCGAGTTCACGAAGTGAAGGCTTGTTTTACAACGTCGTTGCGGAGCGACGAAAACCCAATCCCGATGGCAAACACCGAGGGGGGGGCTTGTTTTACAACGTTCTTGCCAAGCGACGAAAACCCAACCCCAATGGCATCTACCGGAGGGGGGGGGNTCGGGGGGAAGCCGGGGTTGGAAAATTGGGCTCAATAAGGCCTAAGGTGGCGTGGGAGGGGCCACGCGGATTGAAATAAACTTGGCGGGGGGGACGAGTAGAACTGACGCCCCATCGAGTGAACTTAGGTCTCCACAGCTGCACAACTCACTGCATCGTGCACGCCAACACCACAGTAGTGACTGAAGAGTCCAGTTTCGCACATCGGTTTGATGCGCGAACCGATTTTTCTAACGTCAAAACGAGCGACCCCTTCCACACGAACCTGTTTCGTTCACGCGCGTCCTGTGCCAGCCACCTTCTGGCACCTCTTCTCAAGTCCTCTCCCTTGGACGGTGTCCCCCGTTTCCTCTGCGCTGTGGTGCTGCAGGTGATGGAGTGCTGGGAGTCAGCCATTGTGCCAGATCTATGGGCGGGCAAGCGAGTGGGCGTGGTGGCGCACGTGAACACCCTCCGGAGTCTTGTCAAGAAGTAGGCAGAGAGCTCGGTCTGAATAGTGCGACGGGAGGTCTCTCGACTACGAGGTGCTCTCAGCCTCCCCGCTCGCGGATGCGTTTCACCTCTCTCTCTGTCAAGCTCTACATACTTGAAGGCGACAGGAGCAAACAAACGCAGTCATGACACGAATATGCACATGTCGAAGAAAATCCCTCGGTCGACTCCATTACTGGCTCTTTTGAGCAAGCCGCCCGTGCACCATCTGTCCACAGTCACAACTTGGTCCGAGAGAGTTGGGTGACGGCTGTGACGTGTGGCTTCGACAGACGTGGGCACACGGGGCTGACTATTTCCGCACCGAAATTGACGACAAACACGTGAATGACGGTCCGAGATGCTTCTTGACAGCTGTGGCTATTCTTCTGAAAGGAGCTCCATCGTAATTTATCGAAAAATGTTTGGGCAAAATAGTCTTTTCACGACGCGGAGGCTTACAGTAACATGGGAATACTTCTTTCATCTCACTTCGTTAAAAGAAAACGGGCTCTTGTCAATATCCTTGCATATGGACATGACAGGCTTGATGACAGCGACGAGGCCGCGATCAGAAACGTCAACATCCCCACGGGCGTACCTTTCGTCTTGTTAGAAAGGCTTACCCCATTAGACTACTCAGTCAGCGCTGACTGAGTAGTCTAATGGGGTAAGCCTTTCTAACAAAAGATACACTCTCGGCTCGTAGTCACCCGGCTGGTCACTGGGAATTTAGAAATAGAGATCTCCGGGGACGGACCCCTCGCCAGGCGCTGCAGGAAAAAAAAACGGCTCGTAGCCACCCGGCTGGTCACTGGGAATTTAGAAGTAGAGATCTCCGGGGACGGACCCCTCGCCAGGCGCTGCGGGAAAAGAACTAAGGGTGCTCGTGAAAGTGGCCATCTGGGATTCGAACCCCCGAAGCACCCTTCCTTATTGTTGTGCTTTTCCTCCAGCGCCTGGCGAGGGGTCTGTTCCCGGAGATCTCTACTTCGAAATTCCCAGTGACCAGCCGGGTGGCTACGAGCCGAGAGTCTATCTTTTGTTAGAAAGGCTTACCCCATTAGACTACTCAGTCAGCCACTAGACTACTACTCAGTCTAGTGGCTGACTGAGTAGTCTAATGGGGTAAGCCTTTCTAACACGTCTGCGCATTCGATGCGGACGTGCGGCCTACCAGGGAGCCAGATAAAAGCGGGGTCCGCAGCCGGTTCGTGGGGGGTGAGAGAGCGAACGCGCGGGCTGCTGTTCACGTACGTACGTATCCCGTTGGAAGAAGAACAGGAAATGACTTTCATCGAGAAGATAGAATACACCTAGGGTTTCTGTAGCCTCGTCGAGAAGACCACGATGCTGATTGATGATTCTCCCACCTTCTGTTAGTAATGAGGTTCCCATTGGCTCAAGTACCCCAAGAACAACGTATTTCCTCTTACCTCTTGAAGCGCTTGCCCACACGCTTGGAGAAGGAAGACCTGTACAAGCCATACGTTCATGAGCACACGAATATACATACACACGCCAGGCTTGTCGTCTTGCGACGTTTTGTCTTGGTGCTTACCCCGTTTGCTCACTCACCCCCCCTACACCGTCACCTGATCCCCACACCCTTCACGCCCCCACCGCATGGTGCATCCTTCAACTTTGCGCCATTCAGAAGTGATGCAGGGGGGCGGAGGAGGACGTGACCAGCAGTAGAGAAGGGGGGTAAGCGCAGGACGTAGCCTCGATTGAAGGCTCCTTCGACCCGCCGCCAATAGCAGGAGTGGGTGCTGAAAAGCAGTGGCTTGGGGGGTGCTGAGGCTCATTAGCCAACGAACTTCCCTGGGGTTGCTCTGTGTTAATATTCTTGGTGTGTTCTGTGCCAACGAGTGAAGTCTCCTCAAATACCATATACTTGGGAAAGTCTAGAAGATGGGTTGGTGGTGTACACTAGCAGGCTACCGCCGTACTGTAGTCCCCATAGAAAACGACCTCCTCGACGACAACGCCTCCCCCTCCCCCCCTCCATAAAAATACCGCGGATGATCCGATCCTTCCCAAAATATTTTTTTGCCCGCTTATTAGCTCTTTGGTTCTTTCTTCACTGTGTAGACTAGTCTATGCGCCCACAGGGCGTTCAAAGAATATTCCGAGGCATTCACCAAAGGAGCGGTGTTGTTGTTGCTGCTGCTGCTGTAACTGTCGTTGGCGTTGTCGGTGTCCTTGTAGTCGCGTTGTCGTTGTCGTTGTCGTCGTTTGTTGTTGTTGTTGTTGTGGTTGTTATTGCTGTTGTCGTCATCGCTGTCGTTGTCATTGCTATCATCGTCGTCGTCGTAATCTTTGTCGTTGTCGTGGGTTGTTGTTGCCTCCGTTGATGATGCTTATTCCAAACAGAACAGCAGTGTGTATCACCAACTCGACGAGCACTACCTCTTGTATCCCTTGCGGCAGAAACATTAGAGGTGGAATATGCCTACCATCACCAGTTTACCGGTGTATGCAACACCTGAGTGCCTTGCGGCACCGCCACATTGACCACCAACGAGCACCCCACGTTTTTTTACCAGCCATCGCAAAGAGTTACCATCGTTTCTTTCAGCCGCGGAGGAAACCTCTTTTTTCGGTGGAGGGATGAACTATTCGTTCCGGGGAGTCGGAACCACTCCTTGGGGCTTTTCACGCGGTTTTGTTGTGGCTTGGGGAGTCACTTGTTTCAGTAGAATGAGCCGTTGTATGCATAGATAGGGGGCCCAAAGCGCAACAGATGTGGGGGCTTCCCCAAGGCAACCTCTCCATACACGGGAACTTCCCTTCGACGAAAAGCACGGCTGGCTCGATCATATCTGCTCGAGTTGTGACCCACGGCTGGCTCGATTATATCTGCTCGACTTATGACCCGGTCTCCCGATGATCTGCCGGGAACCCGCCGAGAAACAACACGAGACGACCGAGGGCTGCTCCAGAATTGCGTGAGGACATGAATGAATGTGGTGATCCTGTACACGGCGAGCCATTCTCGGTTGCATCGAAAAGTCTTGCCCCTTGAAGGCGGACGAGCAACGACAACAACGCGACAAGCGCAGCGAAGTTCTCGAAATTGGGCACCGGCCGCTGACGGTGATGATCCCAGAGGACCGCCGAAAGTGCTGGATGTCATCATGATAGTGGGCCCACTCAAGGGGCCAATTTCGCCTGACTCTTTTTGTCGTGTCACTCGTTGGCACAAATTGCTGGAGTTCCTCAACACAAATATACAGCCCATGCCAAAACTAGCCATGCGGATCGTTGCTCTGGTGGTCATATGGAACAACCAGCACCGGCACGGGTCTGGATTAGAACGGACCCGGCGGTACCGTGGGTTGCGTATGATACCGCACCCCCTCGAACCGATGTTGAAAATTCCACTACACCACCGTACGAAGAACACGTCAACGTCGAACAACATTTTCGGAAAGATCTCGACGACAATGACCCAACGCCGCAATTTTTCGGCACCGTCACAACCCCTTTCAGCCGCAGCTGGACCCACAAGCTTTGGCCAAATAGTCCAGAGAGTTGGGGTAGCATCATCCATGCGCTCTGCGGTAGGATTCGGCCATAAGCTCGATGAACAGTCGTGCTTGAAGAAACAAACGGATTCTGGTGTCTTCCCGATGGAGAGACGGACACTCTCATGCATCCCCACAGATCTTGCGCGCAGCAAACTTTACCGCACTCACGAACCGAAATGAACTCGACCAACAGCGACTCCACATGCCGCGGCGTTTTGCCAAGAAAAGCGCAAGAACGGCAACGTATTCTCAGCACTTGCACTCCGAGAACAGGCACTGTGAAAATCGCTGAACGTCAGATCGAGTAGACTATTAATAGTGCGTGGTTGTGTGCCTCATGTAGACCGCCTTCATCACAACCATCGTCGTCGCGCACCGTCCCCCCTCATGGCAACGACAACACACGAAACCAAAAAAATAAACATGTTTTACCGAGAAATTCTAAGAGGACCAGCACGGTTGCCTGAGACAATATGCGTTGCCAATCTCGACAACTGCATTCCGCGCGACAAAGACTATAAAAATGAAACGAATGACGAACAGAATAGTCCGTAAGTAAGACATCGAGACGAAACGGCAGCGTCCACAGCAGTGCGGGTCCGTTAACGGCAGACAGGCTCGTAAACCCTCCGAACAACGGCAGACAGAACGACAAGGGCTGTTGAGTGTTCCTGAGGCATACTGTAAGGCCGTGGCTCAGATGACCATGCAACAACTTTAAGGGTCACGCCCAACGGTGGAGAGAAAAAACCAACACAACGCTTCTCGCAAGCAACATGACAGCCCGTGCCCCCATCGAAATCTCACAAACTATACATTACAATTCCGACAGCCTTGCCACCGCCCCCCTCATGTGGGAGAGTCAGCACAAGTACAACGGAGACCGGAAACAGCACCACGCAGACAGACCTGTCTTGCAACTTGACTATTGGAAAGTACTTCACTCTTCTCTAGGGCCGGAAGTCTTCCCTCCGAGTCTGAGGTGCCGGCATATTAATCAGCACCATACTTACCCATCTGCTGCGGCCTCCGTAAAAAGTGAAAACCGGCCCCCGGCCGGTTGCGTAGCGCCCGTCTCGCGCACCACCACATTTTTTAGCCCCAACAACGAGAAAAAGCCAAAACCCATACTAAAAAACAAGCGAGGGGGGGACAACAGACACGCACGACACCAGATGAAAAAGGCGCCGTGGTACCCCCCCCCCGCCGTCGCACCACCCAGCGAAAGCCAATCCCCGCGGAGGCCACCAAGCCAAGAACCGATACCCGTTTGCTGGATGCTGCGCCGCGGTGGACGACCCACCACCGGCACCGGCACATCCACCACAGCAAGCGCGGAGCGGACGAGATCGCGGAATCAGAGCAGCAGCAGCAGCAGCAGCAACGACAACAACAACAACAACAACAACACAACAGCCCTCTTGCTTGGCCGTTGTGCACATGTACAACATGACGGCCGCCTGCCGCGACCGACTCACGGAGAAGCAGCAATTACCGCCGCTTGCTGCCACGACCGGTTCACGGCGAAGCAGGAGCAGACGACGAGACCGTCTCGTTACGGTCGGGCCCCCCCTCCACCTCCGCCCGGGCGCTCGCGCCCCCGGCCGCCACCAGATCCTTCATTGTCTCCACGAGGAGGCCGCCTACGTCCTCCAGCACCGATCCACCGGCGACCTTGGCCGTCGGATCACCCCCCACGGATGCGGGGATCGACCCGCGCATGGGCGGTAGCGGGAGGTCGTAGCCTACGGAGTAGCGGTCCAGGCCGAGGGAGGCCTGGGCTTCCCCGAAGCGCGAGGACACCGGCGGCGGCGGCGGCAGCGACGAGAGCTGGGCGGGGTTGTCGGACTCCTCCACGAGGTCCTCCACGCACCAACACTCCTCCGGGACAGCTTCCGGGTTCTCTTCCCACTTGGTGTGGCAGGCCTCTTCTCGACGCTTGTACTCGTTGACGGCGGCGTCCTTCTCCGCCATCAGGTCTTAAGAGGAGGAGGGAAGGGGGGGGCAAGGGAGAGGGAAACGATTAGGACGAGGGAAATAATAATTTAGCGATGAGAGAGTGGGGACGGATCGGGCGATGAGTTAGACACGTCCGTGGTGGTGGGGCGAAACCGGGGTGGGGAGGTGGGGCAAGTGATCAAGAAAAAGGCGTGGGTCGAGTGTGGTATAGAGAGAGAGAAAGAGAGAGAGAAGAGAGAGAGATCACAACAAAACGTGTCTGCTGACCAGGGGATGAACATCTTCAACCTACACGAGGTTTGGAGCAAAACGAGCACGTACAACACATTACCTTGGACTGTGGATATATCTCGAACGGGTAGTTTTTCAGTGATATTACGCATTTTTTTCTTCAAGAAAAAACAAAGAGGTGCAACAAAACCAATAACGTGCAGCCACCACTGGAGACACCAAAAGCGTACCAGACGGGCCAGACTCGCTTCTAATCGTGCGCTACGTTGGGGCTTGGCACGAAATCACCTTGACGGTCTCCCCTTGCCGGGACCAATAGACACACACAACGCGCGAGCAAAGCAGACGTCCGTCGGGACCGGCAAACACAAGTAACTCACCCCCCACAAAGCGGCCGCGGAAGCCGTGCTTGTCCGGCTCCCCGATCGGCTTGAGGTCCGCGTCAAAGTCGTACACGAACGGCTCGCCCGTCGGGATGTTGACGTTTCTAATGGCGTCTTCTTCAACGTCGTCCAGCCTGGCAATGGTTTGATTGGTGGTGAATTACCACCGTTACATATGGTGTTTGACGGGTGCTCCGGGAAAGGCCCGAAGTGACGGGGGGGAGAGGGGGTACGTCTCGCCTCGACTGTGGAGTCATCGTGGCAAAATGGTTCCAAAGGACGTGTTTTGTAGGGTTTGTAAATTTAGCGTACATTCGGTTGTGGAAAGTGTCCCGCACTCACAGAAGCATCGTGTAGGGTTTCGACGGTGTCACAGAACTCGCAGAAGTACTCTTTGCAAGTGTCACAGCACTCAGGGAAGCATCGGGTAGGGTTTCGACAGTGTCACCGCATTCACCAACAGGAGTATCGGGCAAGGGTACGTACTGCTGCCGTGGCCGGACAATACTTCCGAAAACTTGTAGGTGCCGCGAGTAGCCTTGACTGAATAACACAGTCAGGCGAACTGCCTGGTGGTCAGCAAGGGAGTGCCAACAAGCCGACTTATGTTCGAGTAGAAAGGTATTCCCTTGACACTATAATAGAAAGTGTTTGCGAAGCATTCCCTCCCCCTGACGGCAACAATTTTAACCTACTTCCTTCACTTTTTCTTCCCCGGCCCGAGGTTAGCCCCTCGACAAGACCGCTTGTGCCTCGAACGCTGCAAGTCGCTCGATAAAAATAATCTGCACTACGCCAGGCGACTCCAGCCTTGATTTGAGGCGACAAGACTTCCGCAGTTTTTCAGACAAATACCTTCATGTTCCAAGGGGAGCATGTTCCTGCCTACCGCTTTCAGGTGCCCCACGCTTACGAAACGTTGAATCGTGTGATTATCAACGCTTGATCAGACTTAGAGATGCCCAGGTTAGCACCCAAGAGCCGAAGAGGGGGGGGGGGGGGGNCCACAGGACCGATCACCGATGGCCAATCGTTCCTTCCTACTTTGCCAAAGGTGGCTCAAAAATGTCTTCCCTAGTCTGTCTATCCTAACGATATCCCTTCCCGCCTTTTCAACCCACCTCCTATGCCCCAGTACAGCTACCGTCCTTTCCTCTCTATTCCATGTCTCAAACATCTCTCTGTACGTTCCATCTATTTTTCCCAGCCTAGTCACGTGCAATTCCCTCTCCTTCTTGTACCACGGACATTCCGCGACTACATGAACACGGTCTTCGCATTCGAAGCCGCAAATCACATTTGAACTCGTCGTCTTCGTCTACCGTCCTATGTCTTCGTCGACGTTCTCGAAGGCCTATGTCCCCGGTCCTGAATTTGACCTTAAGCGTCGTTCCTGCATCTATTGGTCCATGTATGTAGTCCTTGAACCCTATTCCTTCCATCAACATTCCGTACACTTCTAGACCCTCCTTATCCTTGGATTCTTTCCTCAGATTCTGTTCTCCTCTCTCGGCGCAAGCAACAGATATCTTCTCCTTGAACCCCTGTAGACCC